AGGTAGGTAGGTAGGTAGATAGATAGACAGACAGGTAGATAGACAGACAGACAGACAGGTAGGTAGACAGACAGACAGACAGACAGACAGACAGACAGACAGACAGACAGACAGGTAGGTAGGTAGATAGATAGATAGATAGATAGATAGATAGATAGATAGATAGATAGATAGATAGATAGATAGATAGATAGATAGATAGATAGATAGATAGATAGATAGATAGATAGATAGATACAGACAGACAGGTAGGTAGACAGACAGATAGAACAGACAGGTAGACAGACAGACAGACAGACAGACAGACAGACAGACAGACATACAGACAGACAGACAGATAGATAGATAGATAGATAGATAGATAGATAGATAGATAGATAGATAGATAGATAGATAGATAGATAGATAGATAGATAGATAGATAGATAGATAGATAGAGACAGACAGACAGACAGACAGACAGACAGACAGACAGACAGACAGATAGATAGAGACAGACAGACAGACAGACAGACAGACAGACAGATAGATAGATAGATAGATAGATAGATAGATAGATAGATAGATAGATAGATAGATAGATAGATAGATAGATAGATAGATAGATAGATAGATAGATAGATAGATAGATAGATAGATAGATACAGACAGACAGACAGACAGACAGACAGACAGACAGACAGACAGACAGACAGACAGACAGACAGATAGATAGATAGATAGATAGATAGATAGATAGATAGATAGATAGATAGATAGATAGACAGACAGACAGACAGACAGACAGACAGACAGATACAGACAGACAGACAGACAGACAGACAGACAGACAGACAGACAGACAGACAGATAGATAGATAGATAGATAGATAGATAGATAGATAGATAGATAGATAGATAGATAGATAAAAGTAAAAGTACGACAAATAAAAAAGTATTAATTTCTTTAAATTTCATAAAATTTCTTATGATTTCTTTCAGAATTTCATTAAAAATATAACTGACCCCAAACTTATGACTTTAGTAGTGTGATCATCCTACTGCTTACACATCTATGTAATAAATATCAATATAGTAAATATCAATGTTGAATGTAAAACACCAGAGGAAGGACAATTCACACGATACCTGGTGAAAATCATCAGTGTTCTGCCGCATATCAGTGGAACAAGGTGATTTATCTCATATATTATTTACTTATTATTCATGAATTACACTCACCGGCCACTTTATTAGGTACACCTGTCCAACTGCTCGTTAACACTTAATTTCTAAGCAGCCAATCACATGGCGGCAACTCAGTGCATTTAGGCATGTAGACATGGTCAAGACAATCTCCTGCAGTTCAAACCGAGCATCAGTATGGGGAAGAAAGTTGATTTGAGTGACTTTGAACGTGGCATAATTGTTGGTGCCAGAAGGGCTGGTCTGAGTATTTCAGAAACTGCTAATCTACTGGGATTTTCACGCACAACCATCTCTAGGGTTTACAGAGAATGGTCCGAAAAAGAAAAAACATCCAGTGAGCGGCAGTTCTGTGGGCGGAAATGCCTTGTTGATGCCAGAGGTCAGAGGAGAATGGCCAGACTGGTTCGAGCTGATAGAAGGGCAACAGTGACTGAAATAACCACTCGTTACAACCGAGGTATGCAGCAAAGCATTTGTGAAGCCACAACACGCACAACCTTGAGGCGGATGGGCTACAACAGCAGAAGACTCCACCGGGTACCACTCATCTCCACTACAAATAGGAAAAAGAGGCTACAATTTGCAAGAGCTCACCAAAATTGAACAGTTGAAGACTGGAAAAATGTTGCCTGGTCTGATGAGTCTCGATTTCTGTTGAGACATTCAGATGTTAGAGTCAGAATTTGGCGTAAACAGAATGAGAACATGGAACCATCATGCCTTGTTACCACTGTGCAGGCTGGTGGTGGTGGTGTAATGGTGTGGGGGATGTTTTCCTGGCACACTTTAGGCCCCTTAGTGCCAATTGGGCATCGTTTAAATGCCACGGCCTACCTGAGCATTGTTTCTGACCATGTCCATCCCTTTATGGCCACCATGTACCCATCCTCTGATGGCTACTTCCACCATGTCACAAAGCTCTAATCATTTCAAATTGGTTTCTTGAACATGACAATGAGTTCACTGTACTAAAATGGCCTCCACAGTCACCAGATCTCAACCCAATAGAGCATCTTTGGGATGTGGTGGAACGGGAGATTCGCATCATGGATGTGCAGCCGACAAATCTGCGGCAACTGTGTGATGCCATCATGTCAATATGGACCAAACTCCCTGAGGAATGCTTCCAGCACCTTGTTGAATCTATGCCACGAAGAATTGAGGCAGTTCTGAAGGCAAAAGGGGGTCCAACCCGTTACTAGCATGGGGTACCTAATAAAGTGGCCGGTGAGTGTATTTATTTATTCATCATATGATAATGTCATTCATTGAATTCTCAGTTTCTGTTTACTCTAGTCATAGTCATTTATTCACAAAGAGTCGACTTTTAGTCAGGGGAGCTAGAAATGACGGTGGCTTATAAAGAATCTGCTAACTATGGGACATTATTATTTCTCATCATCATTCTCAGTCTGACCCATTCAAAATGCTTACCTCTGTAATAATGTTGTTTTTCCAGTAACCAAAAATAATAAGTGAGAGGACATAAGACATGGAAGACCTGAACGATTTAGCTAAATTAGCTTTTATACACTAATTAGATAAAAAATATCTTTCAAGATTAGAATAAAATGTGCAATTATGTTTACATAATCTGTTTGTGACCTGATATAATGAATAATGAAATAATTATGCAAACAAGATTTCTGGTCAAAAGCACAACAATGTACTGTAGTTTCAGATTTAGGTCCAAATGCAAAGTGATTTTAATCATATGTGCTGCTGCTATTCCAATATAGATACAGTAGATACAGTTAATTCACTTTACTATGATGCTGTGGAATCTAATATGTCTATCTAATCTCATCCACACACAGACTGCATTACAGATTAGTTTGACAGCAGAGAAAAAAAAATCTGATTTTTTTTTTCTTTTTAGATTAGTAAACCAAGAAATACTACTGCCATCTTGTGGCCAACATGTTTCCCAACACAATGCCTGCAAATGCTAATAACATGCACGTTTATTCTACTGCACATTTCCTGAAACTATAACCACACGATCAAAACTACAAAGCTCAAAATTATACACTCTATTTAAAAAATAGATTTTCCTCAATTACAGACTTTTTAGGTATATTTATAAACATCAAAGCAAGTCAAATAATTGTTTTATTAAAAATTAAATAATTTCTGAAAAGTTTTGTGCTATTTTTAGTATTATTATTATTGTCATAAGTATTAGGTTTGTGCTGATTTAGGGGGAAAAGAGGCATGTTACATGAAAACTACAAACATTAAAAAACAAAACAAAAATTCTCCAAATATTCAACCAACACCAGTAAGAGAAATATCTTTTGTAAGACAAATGTAAAAAAAAAAATTATATATATATATATTTATACACCAACATGTTTGTTGATCCTGGAACAACATTCCAATCAACCAATCAGATTTAAGGGACAAGTTTACAGTTTATGTCAAATTCAGACTTACAATCAAGGTTATAGGTGCTTCTATATCAGTGTTATCCACCTATCATTTCCCTCTGATTTTAGGGATAAGTTATGGGTAGGGTTAGGTTCAGGACTACATTTTCGGACAGGAATGTTGTTCCAGGATCAACAAAATAAGTTGACCCAGGAACGCGTCTAACTCAGCAAAATCTGGACGTGCGACATGATAATAGTGATTATTTTCCAATGCTATGCTTTCTAAACGAGCACATGCAAAACATGACGTCAAATGCTGAAATTGAGTTTAGAGGTTTTAAGGTTTAACAGATTTGAAACGTGTGTGAAATGCAAGCACGGTGATTATAGTTTGAGGAACGGCTCTTTCTATAAGAAAATGACTATATTTAGCATTTTTTGGCTGTTAAAATGGACTTTAATGTTCAAACAATTGAGAAAAAACAACAATATTTATAAGCATTGTTCAAATCGTATATTAAACTACTACTGAAGTCTTATTGTTATTGGAAGTAAATAGTATTTAAAAAAACACAGTACAGTCATATTTATCATATTGGAAACCTGTGTGACCTCATTTGGCAGATTTCACAGTAACCATGGTGACCGCAGTATGCAAATTCATTATTGGGTCATTAGAAGAATCAATATCACTAACAAAGTTTTTAACAGCCACAACGTATCTAATGTTTCATTAAACGAGAGCGTTTGCTCTGGAACATTCAAAATGGCTTAATTAGCTCTGCCGCTCGAACCACTAAACACTCATTTAAAACACACTAATTATGCCGAACCGAAGAAAATAAATAAATATCAAAGCTAAAGTGTGTCATTTTTTTAAATGTTATATATGTATATATATATATATATATATCCTATAGTAGCTTAATATGCTGAGACAGCTATAAGTAAAACACTCACAGATTAATTTTCCTAAATTTGTACAGTATAAAAACGGCGGTCTTTCGTTGCACTATTACATCATAATGTGACAAAAATCCGAAACGAGTCGTTTTCGAAGCTTGGTTTCAATAAAAGTTTTTGAACTAACAAGGAACTTTTGAGTTAAAGGATGTTTTGGTAGTAAAATGACCTCTTACATGTCAAAAGATTAAGGAAAATTGGATTTCTCAAATCATGAACCCTTTAACATCCGTGTCTTTGACGTCGAACATGATCCTCATGCCCACACACATATCACAAATTCATTTCTATTAGTATTAAGCTTTCAATGACTATAAAGTCAGTATAAGCCAACTGCATTATATACAGTAGGCGTACATTGTGTCCCATAAAAGCCAACACTGAATGGGCTAATTTACTACAGTAGATGCACTGCATTTTTCCAGGAAACAGTAATACTCAATATAATTAAGACACTGACGACTGTGTTCCACTTACCTCTGCATTGGCGTCTCTAAAGGGGACGTCAGATTGATAGTGTCCTTGGTGATCTCCACTTTACGAACACTTCCGAAAAAGTCAGTGATGAGGACACTCGCCGGATCTCTCTGGAACAGGTCAGTACGGTGGCCTGGAGTGGACACACACTGACTCTGCGGGCACACCTTAAACTGAAACAGACACAATACAATCAGTCAAACGAGACTGAGAAACGCAAACAAAGAGATTAATTACGGGTTGCCAAGTTCTAAGAGCGCATTCATTCCCAAATGGTTTTTTGCAGTTTATCAGAAGCTGTCAGAAATGAATACAAAGAAAAAGAACAAAAATTACCATTTAAATAACATCTGTTCCCTGCGCATCCAGCAATGGGCTGCAGGAAAGTGTCATTAATATGTGATCTTGTGAATTCTTATAAAAAAAAAAAAAGACTGAAAATGTATAAAAATGGGCTTGTAAATGAAACACGGACATGAAAATTTAACCAGTAAGTGGCGGTTCACACAGAACACGTTTTTCCATTCCACTGCGCTACTTTTCCATTGTTTTTCAATGTAAATAAACACGCGCTAGACGGACGTCTTTAACCGCCTTGCTTTGGTCTTGCGGCTTTTGTAGCGCGTCACGCACGACAAAAACAGGGCGCTCAGGTTAAGTTCCACTTTTAAAAACACGTCTCTAGACCTTGCGCATTTTTTTCGTTCCATTGAACAGCGTCTCGCGATTGTAACAGCAAAAACGTGTTCTGTAATTCAAACTTTACCCTGTATAGATTCCTTTCGAAATGATGAAGCCATTACCTAGACATTTAATACATCGTAATTTGGGACTTTTAATCTTAATCCACACTAAGCTCTAAATCATCCTTTTTTAGTGTGACCTCAGGATGAAATCATTTAAGACCCAATCCTGTCCAGCTGGAATGAGGTGTGTGTGTTGGGGGGGGCTAGACATTAAATTGTAGACATTAAAGGTGAACTATGCAGGTTTTTTACCTCAACCGAACAGCATCGGAGTCATTGGAATGGTTATATTACTCTTTTCGGGTTGAATGGTGGTCGTTTCGCACCCCCCTATCGCATGTGAGCGGAAAAAAACACACTTTCAACTTTGAGCCAGCGGGCCGCCGGCCGCAGCATCAGGAAGTGTCACGTGATATCAGGTCTCGCGATGTAACGAATTGCTTTACGGAAAAAAAGATCTGATAAAATTCTGATAAAATGACCATCAAACAGAAATAACCCGGCGGCGTATACATGTGGTGTTCGAGGCGCACATACAATACAGACTGCCGACACTAAACAGGGCGCGCGCAGCTCTTAAAGGGGCCATACCTTATTTCCACTCGTTACAGCGTCCATCCTACTGAACAGGTACCGGTGTACAGGGGGAGGGGATCCGGCCGTGAGTGCGAGCCATCTCTGCGTGAGTGCTATTCACGACAGTACAAGTACTCCACAGCGACTCTAGGGGTCGCTGTTTGACAAAAATGTAATTCCTGCATAGTGCACCTTTAAATTGCATTCACAATACATTTTGTTTCCACAATGTGAAACTGAATATTCAATGAGATTCAATAATGGCTCAGTGGTTCATGTAGGTTGTCTGCGAACCAAAAGGTTGGTGGTTCAATCCCCGGTTCCACCTGACCAAGTGTCGAGGTGTCCATGAGCAACCCCAGATGCTCCCGACGAGCTGGATGGCACCTTGTATGGCAGACACCGCCGTCGGTGTATGAATGAGTGAGTGAATGGGTGAATGTGAGGCAAATGTAAAGCGCTTCGGTGGCCATTGGGTCTGTGAAAGCGCTATATAAATGCAGTCCATTTACCATTTAATAATGTCTGACTTTCCGTATCAGAATGGAGGCAGACCTGAATGCGGGTTTGCAGTTAATTGTGGAGAGGATGTAAATTTTGACCAGCTGGGAATCGAGTTTCTGACTGGGAAATGGAGGCATTTTTTTTTTCTGCACATATGCACATATGAATAATGCACAATAAGGCCAGTAATGTGGACGAAGAAGTTTTATAAGAATATTTGCAGAGGCATAACGACTGCGTAGTTTAGGCTGGCATCACTGTAAACTGCTTTAACATGTCATTTAATTCAGTTTACCATACACAAACAAGAATGAAGTCCTTTAAAAATGTTTGCTAAATGAAAGCAGGAATTAATACAATAAATAAGCTTGTGAAATTCATAAGCAAGCAGCTCTTAATCAACAAAAAGGCCAACAATAGTTTTGTCAATCGAAAGAAAGTGCAGCAATAAATTAAAACATCGGCGTTCAGCCAGAAATTGAGATATTTCGTCTAGGGCTGTGAAACGATTAATCGCGATTAGTCGCATCCAAAATAAAAGTTTGTTTACACATAAAATATGTGTGTGTACTGTGTATAGTTGTTTTGTAAATACACACACATGCAACCCATGTGGTCCTCTGCGTTTAACTCATCCAAATTAGTGCACACACATTAGGAGCAGTGAGTAGTGAACGCACACACACACACACACCCGGAGCAGTGGGCAGCCATTTGCTGCGGCGCCTGGAGAGCGATTGGGGGTTATGTGCCTTACTCAAGATCACCTCAGTCACTTCCTGCCAGACCCGCAACCTTCAGGTTACCAGTCTGACTCTCTAACCATTAGGCCACGACGGCCCCCGAAAAAAAGCTAAGCATGAATAAATCAAATAAATCAAACTTGACATGACTCTTAATGCTTTCAAAATGTAATTTCTCTGAACATCCAGTTCAGAAACAAGTTTCAAGTGCATACTTGAATTAAGCCAAATGAATCTGATTTAAACGAACTGCATTCTTTTCTACCACAACTCCCAGTGCACAGTGACAGCCAGAAACACATTCTGCAATCTTTCTGATGATGAGAGTGAAAGAGAGATCATTCATGTGAAAGATCATTCATGAAAGATCAAGTGGCCTTTTTCTATCAACATTAAAACCTCTCTCTTGCTCCCACGGGAAATCAATAATATCACTGCTAATGCAGTAGAATGGGGAGAGAGAGAGAGAGAGAGAGAGAGAGAGAGACAGAGAGAGAGAGAGAGAGAGAGAGAGAGAGAGAGAGAGAGAGAGAGAGAGAGAGAGAGACAGAGAGAGAGAGAGAGAGAGAGAGAGAGAGAGAGAGAGAGAGAGAGAGAGAGAGAGAGAGAGAGAGAGAGAGAGAGAGAGAGAGAGAGAGAGAGAGAGAGAGAGAGAGAGAGAGAGAGAGAGTCAGAAGAGGACAGGGAACAAAAAAGCAACCAGAAAAGAGGCTGTTGTTGCACCTGTTTGATCTGGAAAGCAGAGAGGATGTGGAGGGCAGAAGAGATCAAAATGGATTGTGGGAGTTGGTGGGACTCCAACCACTCAGATGAAGGGAAGAGAAACTAAAGCTCGCCCAGGCCTTCAGAGAAAAGGTCTCCCTCCTGACTGTTTCAAAGCTGTTTGACCTACGCCTGTGTTAGTCGCTCTGTTTAAAGTGGTGCGTTAGGAGACCTGTGGACCGCAAGGCCGTTCTTTTCATCTGAGGTGACAGGACGTCTTTGTGACCGCCGCTTTTTAAGTTCGTGCCAGCGTTGTGGATGTGGGAAATGCTCCTGTAGGTTTTGACAACTAGTTTCCAATTATGAGGTCAGAAAAAATGCCAAAAATTATTATTATATATTATCCATATTATTTGGCTGGAATTATAAACAGGCACAAAACACACATGCACACAGACACTTACCAGATCATTCATGTTGGCTTGGCTGGCGGGGTGGACTTCCTCCAGGAACTCCAGTAAGTAGAAGGTGTACTTGTCCATCAAATGGACCCCTATTGCCAAATCTGGCTGATGCTGTAAGGACAGAACAATACAGGTGAACCAATCCCAATCTTTTATACTTCTTTAATCATTTCAAACTTATTTGAATTATTCATGTTCAGGGATTTTTAGAGAGTCATGTTGTACAGATGTTGAATCTAGTCTAGTGTGTATTACAGTCTGTTCACACCAAGTCCAATGTGACTAGATAAAACAAAAGTGTAAAATGTTTGCAATCAATTTTTGGCACTAAAAACTATAAACAGTGGGTTGGTCAAAGATTCTGTCTTCTGACAAAAATGACCCTTAAATGTTCTCAATATTTTGTCATGTTATATTCAATACATTTAGTCAGATCTATCTTCGTTAAATGGCACATAATTGTAGTCAAATTTTGTCAAAATGGTTGCACTTTATCTTACAGTGCGTGTACTAAGAAAATACTGGGTAATATAAGGTAACTATAGGGGTTAAAGGGTTTGTTCACCCAAAAACTCAAACTATTTACTCACCCTCAAGCCATCCTAGTTGTATGTGACTTTCTTCTTTCAGCCAAACTCAATCTTATATTAAAAAATATCCTTTTTAAAAAAGCTTTATAATGGGAGTGAATAGAGCCAGAGTTTTTGTAGCTCCAAAAAGCGAATCCCTCCATCATAAAAGTAATCCATACGGCTCCAGGGGGTTAATACATATAGAAAAATATCCATATTTAAAACTTTATAAACTATAATCACTGGCTTCCGGTAACGGCCGTGCGCGAGTCTAGTTCTGGCGGAAGAGTGACCTCTGACCCGACCCTTTAAGGTTAGGTTTAGGAGTAGGCTCAAGGTTAGTACCTAGTTATTACCCAGTTAGTGTAATCACTGTAATACACCGCATGTGCATGGGGAGCAGGACTGTAAAATAAAGTGCTATAAAAGACAAAGCAATTATAATTTTGTTAAAAAGATTAACATTGCTCATGTAGTTGGTCCAAAAGTTTGGGGTCAAAAAGATTTTTTTTATGTTTCTGCAAAAACTCCCTTATTCTCACCAAGTACGTATTTATTTGTTCAAAAATACAGTAAAAACAGTCTTTTTTTAAGATTATTGCCATTTAAAATAACTGGTTTCCATTTTATTATATTTGAATATGTCATTTAAAAACTATTAATTTTGATAGCAAAGCTAAATATAATTTTGTGGAAACATTTTTTTCCAGGATTCTTTAATGAATACAAAGTTCAAACAGCATTTATTTGAAGTAGAAATTATGTTACATCATACATGTCTTTACTGTCATTTGTGATTCATTTAATGCATCCTTGCAGAACTGAATAGAATTAATTTCATCAGTTCTAACCCTTTCTGTCTGGCCACAAACTTTTGAACTCTATTCGAACCAATTAAATCACTCCGAAATGTGATTAGCAGTTAGCACATGTTATAGGGACACACCAAACCTTGGTGCTTGTTTAAGAGGTGTATGTTTGATCCCAAACCTCATCACATCCCGAAATCCCTGTGATTTCCTATCCATTTAATCCCCAAACCCCTTTCTCTCTATAATTTCCATGCTAATGTTTTTTAAAGGTTATTCAACAGCTAATTTCAGGTGTGCAGAAGATCAAGTTCCTCAGGTTTGACTCACCGAAAGCGAGTCCTCTCCCACTTGACTGCTGGCCAGAGCCATGAGGTTCGGCGAGTAAAACCTCTCATACATGGAGGCTCCCTGGCACGTGTCTATGATGAACAACAGCTCATTGTACCTGCAAAGAAAGGCCGTTTTAGAGCCAGTCGGTTCTTGGTTGTCAGCTTTAAACCCCTTTCCATGTATATGTCTGATATCATTTGTGATTAAAGCTATTGGTTGTGAAGTTGAGACAGATCTGACCTGCAGCACTGGACTCAAATCTGTACAACCAACACAGCACTCTCTACAAGCCGTCGCCACGGTAACCAAGAACCCAGCACCCATTACTGCGCCATTCACAAATTTATATATATAATAAAAATTAGAAACCACTTCAGGCCATCTCAGATGAGCGAACCAGAGAATGAGACGGCTTGGAATGGCATGAACCTGAAATGTAATGGGGGAGCAATGAAGCACAAAAGGGGGCTTCACTAATTTATTGGATCAAGCCTGCAATTACTACACTGACAGGCACAAAACATCCTGTGCTCTACGGGAAGAGAGGAAGCTCTCATTGCACCTCACACCAGCCTACAATATTTACACAGCGCTGGAACCTAAACAGCCTATTAGAGCATTTATAACACACAATTAATACGTTAGGAAGCTGCAGCGCTTCATGTACATTAATACTGTGTCTAGAAGCTCCACAATGAAGACTAATGCATGTTTCATGAGTTTTGGATTTGTTTCGGTCAATTACTGTAATTTGCTCTCAAAAGCTGCATTTAATGATTAAGCTGAACAAGTACGTTTGATGATATGACCGGAAGTGTGCTTTTGCAAAATGGTTTAATACGCATTTAATGAACGTTTGTATTGAGTAACTTGCATATTTTTTCCTCAGCCAACAAAAATAGTTCCAAATAAAACCAAAGCAGAATCAAACATTCAGTGTCATTCCTGAATAAATCAGTGGTTATATGTTCATATCAATGAAGAGTGAATGCTTCAATGACTTAACCCTCAGACGGTCCTCGGTCATTTCTGACCGAATCATTTTCTGTTTTGAATTTCTAAAAATCACAGCTTCATCGGAATGTTATGAAACTTGGTGACTTTTATGGCATTAGGTATGTAAATAAAAAAAAAAAAAAATTGAGTTCATGATCCGACCATGCTAAGTGGTCGTAAAACAATTAGTCACGATTTTGGTCTTCGGTCAAAAATGACCCCCATAGGAAATGAATGGGAAATTGACAAAAACACAAAAATTATCTACAAATCGGCTATGATGCAAAAAAAAAGTGCTCAGCAATGACGGGGTGAAACTCTAAAACATCAAGAGTGAAAAACATAACATAATTAATAATTATAATTAATATATATATATAATTAATATAATAATTATTCAAATTATTAAAATAATAATTAATAAAATGTTATAAACCTTGGCAAAAAGTATTATTTGAGAATTTCTAAAAAAAAAAATACATTCAATCCACATCTTAAAAGTAAGTAATTTGGTCCAAAAACAACTAGAATTCACAAGCATCTAGAGCTATACATGCATCTAGAGGTAAACCCATGCAATAACATGATTTATTTAATTTTATGTTTAATAAATTGATTTTTTTTTTTTTTCTGAAAGCCTAGTCTTTATTTTAACTGAAAATACTGCATAGAAGAAAAATAAATAATAAATAAAAATAAAATAAAAAACTCCTTATTTTCAATGGCAAAAAATTGACCATAAATATTCCATAAATATTAATAAGTTCAATCAAATTGTCTCAAAATACTAAATTAAAAAGAATAAATATTATAGAACAAAAATAAATTGCATTGGTTTTACTGGGATGGAGGAAGTTTCATTTTTAGGTGTCCGGTCACTTCTGACCGGGAAGGCCCAGGATGTGACTCCGAAACGAAGACCGTCTGAGGGTTAATCATAAAGATAGTAAGTGGTTTTATTCCTGAATTAATCAGGAATGCAAACTAACTTGGGTTTAAAAGGTGTCGGAAGATCCGAACCCCCATTTTTTAAATATATGTGACCAGAGATGCCAACTCTCACGCATTCACCGTGAAGACTCACGCAATTGACACTTTTCACACGCCATACATCCATTTTCTCACGCAGAGAAAAATCGCGGAGCAAAGAGGACACCGACACCGACAGACAAGACAGAGCAGGTTACTTTTGATATGAAACAAATTCTCAGCTCTCAGATTCTGTCAATTTTATTACGAAATTCAAACAATAAATACCGTTTTGCCGCTTTTAAATGTGACGTGACAGATCGCTGTGGCGCCTGGCGGCACGTGAACCGAAAATCTCTCTTTACTACTAGTTGAATAAACACAAATGAACAATAATAGGTAGCCTATGTTGAAAGATACAGTACAACTTACCGAAATCTACATGCCTCATAGATAACATAGATAAATCAGTGTTTTTCAACCGTGGAAAGAGGTCAATAAAACAGCTGGAGGACACTATGTCACATAACGTTACATTTACCTCAGAAAAAAACATTTAATGACCATAGCACGTTAGTTGGCTAGAAAAATGTGTATTTTATAATATATTTAGTATTAGCATAAATGAGTATTTTGCTAAATATGTGCACTATTACATAATTATTATATATTTACTTATATCATTCAAATATTATAAAGTTGTTATTATAATAAAAAACGCATTATACTCTCTGTAGACTATGTTTACAGCATTAGCTGAGATTTTTTTATTGAGAAAAATTTACATATATCTACTGTACCTAATATTTATCAAAATGAATCGATATTGAATCAAGATCGGAATCAAACCACAATAATTGAATTGAAATTTTTTAATTTGTATGAAAGAAATAATAAAAGCAATAGCCTACCATTCATTGCACCATAATATGCTGTCACTAAACTCAATGAAAATGTTTAGTTAGGCTACCAAATGTTTTGACTATCCCAATACCCTACACTCATGCCTAATTGTACGAGACCTGACACTGACGTTGCTTTTCCTGAGACCTGAGGCGTGAAACCGAGACCAAGACCTTTCACCACGAGCCAACACCATGCCTGACCACGTCAATGAAATTGTGTGTGGTAAAAACGGAGTATATAATGATGAAATCATGCCAAATATATGAGAGTTTACTGTATAATTACCTCCTCTTTTGCCACATCTGCTCAAATGCATCAGCCAGCTCCATGTTGCTGATTTCCTCAGAATCCTGGAACTTCAGGAAGCCGTTTCCACCATGACCTGTGAAAAAGGATGGTCACAGATTCAGGAAAAAGAAGGAATATAAAAATAAAAAACAGCCAGCAATGACTCCGTTAGCGGTCTGACCTGTCAGGTAGATGAGAATGTTGCTCCGGTCGTCTGATAGCAGACGTTTGGATCGAGGGGTGCTGGTGGGGAGACGGCCTGTCAGGACTCGCAGGAAGTTCTCTACTGTGACCTGCAAAACAAAAAGAAATGCCTTTAAACTAAGAAACAACTATCACAAAAGGCAAGCGATATGGATTTTACAGTGACGGTGCAGATTATATATTGTTATGGCAGACCGGCGACAAGTCAATAACAATAAGTGAATCATTCCCTCAACTGATTAACTCAAAAACACTTGTGTGTTTCTCGGAAATGTGCAACGGTTGATTCTACTTTGACTATTTTCATTAAGTTTAAAACATTTTTTACATGCTGAAAACAACTAGCAGAACTTAAATTAAAAAAATTAAAGCAAGGGCAGCTTCACCTCATATCCGCGGTAATCCACCTCCACATCGTCTCCATACACATTGAGCTCCATGTTCTTATGACTGAACACAGTGGCCGGTTTGGGGTTTCTATAGTTACAGGCCATATCATCGGCTAGCATCAGCACGATGTGACTGGGGAAAGCAGAGCAAACACATCTAATCAGAGCAGACAGGAAGACTTTTACTGCGGCTAGAGACACAAATATCACTGCCTCATTGTGACAAAAGGGCGAACATGCAGCTATCTCTGGACAACACAAATTAAGCGATGGAAAACAGTGGGTAAAGGTCTATTTGAATAATGTGTCACTATAATGAGGATGCCAGGAGGGAATAATAGTTGATATACAATGGATTGGTCCAACTAGGCCAGTTTATGTTTTAAAAAAAAAAAAAATTATTGTGTCCAGATAGGAACGCTTTACAGCATAATTGAAGTAAATGACCTGAAGTTTACCTGTCTGGGATGCCCAGTCTCTTTACGCTCCTGTATACTGACAGCGTGTTCGCCACATGCCGATAATTAAACCAGAATCTAGATGTGCAGACCTAGACAAAAGCATGATTAGAATGAAAAAATAATCAAATACAATTTCAAATAATCTGTTATACCTGTAAATTACCCTTTTGTTGTCTTTCCTATTATGTGCTCTTATTTATTCGTACCCTTTATTACATTAATGCTAACTGGCAGTAAATTCCTGTGTTACCTGTGACCAAGATTTCACAAAACCTATAAGAGCAGCCTAAAACAATGGTTAAACAGCATTAACCAATAATGTGATATATCAGTTTTCATAAATATAGGCCTACTGTATATAGCTTCAATGCAGGTTTATTTCAGTTTTAGTAATCGTAGTACTTTAAACTTTTAATTTAAACTTATTTAAATGAGTTAAATGTGTATTTAATTTATTTCCAGCTTTATTTGAATTACATTAAAAACATATTTGATTAGTTTTAGTTAACTAAACAATTTATGACTAACCATTTTAATTTTTCTTAGAAGAGCTAGGGTTCCCACTGTCTTGAAAAAACTGATATATTTCTAAATTAAAATTTTAAAATGTAACTTAATACAATTATGTGATTCGATGGGCATTTTTATGCTTTGTATGAATAACCTAGAAAAGTCATGAGGCCTTTGAATATTGTTGTATTTATGAATTTATGCATTAAGATAAGAATCCTTCTAAATTCTCAGAAGTCAAACTTACGAGGACTGCCCAGTTGTTGGTGTGGCCACTGCTGAAAAACTGTCCAGCTTTTGTCTAAACAACAATCAGAAAATACAATTATTACACAATTAATGGTGTGCAGATGAGCAAGACTCTAAGACATTAAGTACATTTGAAATATTTGATTCAGTTTCATTTGTATTTGTATGCTTGTACATGTATTGTCTCCTTAATGCAGACTATTAGCTTGCATTATTAATTTAATAAATCTGTAAAATGTGAAAATTCTCTCTTTCAGGCAAATAAAAGGAGAAAAGAAAATCAAATTAAGGCCATAAGTAGAGACTTTGTCCTTTTTAGCCACTGTATGAAAGCTTATGAAAGGCACTTTATGGACGTAATATGGTAGCAAAATCCTAAAAGCAAAAATTGCCTCGACTTTGAATGCTGGCTGTATCAGAAGGTCATGTGACATAAAACATCATATAGGCTACGGGTTTTTAACTGGAGAAGCTTTAAAACTAAAGCTAGCATAATAGTCATCGCTTTATATATTAATAAAAAACCAAGCGGCATATTTTAAAGATAGCACAATCCTTGTCAAAAGAAGTAGCCTATACTTTAGCACACTTGTTCTGTTTTAAGAGTGCTTATTATGGAAATAATATACTTTAAAACAACATACTTAAGTGCAAACTGAGTGTAATGTTTTCAGACAATTAAATATATGTTATTTAGAATGAAATGAAACTGTATTATAGATTAAATTGATAATAAATGCAATTAGTTTGAGTGCTTTTTTGACCCACTTAAGTAGGGCTTTAATCTTAATATGTAATTTCATTATTAGTTTTATTGTCTTTCAAATGTGGTTAAAGTGTATTATCGAATATAATAACACTCTACATTTAAAGTTATAATCAAGTACTTTACATGTGCATTATTATTTTAGTAAACACATCAAATTCAAAAGCATAAAAAACATTATTAAAACATGATGATTTAAAAATCTACTGTCTGTGTGTGAATTCAACATTTTTCTTGAAATATTACCCTTTTTAAATGTGTACTTAAGAGGGTTAAACAGTTGAAAGTGTCATCTAAGTGGTCTTTTAGTTCATTGATATTAGGCCTATATTATCTGAAAGAACGTTTTTTACCAATATGCTTTAAAGATTTGAAGTACTCTACACATGCATATTCGATACAGAATAATAAAGAAGTGCACTTCTTTTTCACCAGGGAAGCCCATTTATGTCACAAAAAGATTTGTTAGGTTTAAAATAAGTCCACTGAATCTCCAGTAAAATTAACATTTTATCATTTTTATATTGTTTGACATTTAGATTGTGAATATATTTTATATTGTGGCCATTTTTGTGTGAAATTGATGCACTTGTTGTGTGGATGTGGATGGGTATATGAACACGTCAAATGCAATGTAAGAAAGAACTGAAAGATTACATTTGAAGATGACAAGATGTTTTGTCTTGCAGAGAGAATTACAACACTGTCTATATATTGGAATGAATTAAGTTTGACAACTATATCTGAACAACATACATGATATTTAACATTTTGTTCATTTAAAATGCTTTACAAAAGTGCACCTAATATGACAAAGAAATACAGACAAGTCTGTGCGTTGCTGTCATCTTAACAGAAAACTGTGAGCCAAAATAATGACATAAATAGTTGACTGATTAATCAATTCCAAATGCCCACAGAGATGTGCTGTTTACAACAAACTGATCATCATAATGTAACTCACAGGCTGTGTTTCAAAACCTAGTAAGTTACCTACCTAAACAGTACTGTATGTTTGGGCATCATAAGCACGCTCTCATATCAACTGAACTCAGTGTATGTTTTATATGTGCATATGTGCGTGCGTGTGTGTGTGTGTGTGTGTGTGTGTGTATAAGACAGACATAAAATAAAAAAAAAAATGTTAAAAAAGAAACCTTAATGCTGAGCTGAGAATATTACTGCTGAAAGCTTCACTGCCAGTCCAATGCATTAAAGAGACGCTTTACAACAGCTATAAATAAAGACACTTACCTCAACATGATTACTGTATACATGTGGTATGAAAAAAAGCAAATGAATACATGCACATATTGCCATTAAATTGTAATAATCCATTTTATTTCGTCACCGGTTTAGTGACAGGCTAGATTTGCAACGGCAACCAGGAAGCGCTTCATTTCCGGTTTGATTAAAAGTCCCATTTTCCCGAAATAAAAGTCATTCCTCTGCTCAAATATTTAGAAGCAGACGCATATGAATATATGATCATGCATTACGTTTTATCAATGACGATAGAAATAATAAATATTCTGAATATGAATGTGTAGTATATTCAGTTATAAACCATTACTTTTGATATAAACTGGTGCATGCTAATTGCACAGCATTCCAGTCATGTAAAAATGATATAGTAAAACAGCTCTTACTTGACCTAGGTTTGGCTTGTTCACCATGTCACTGTGCTGTTATCATAACAATTGTTATTTTTGTAGTTGCATAGCAAATATCTATGGTTGGATATATCTTGGACCCTATGAAACCGACAGATAGGACTTTTGCCCATGCTTTTGCCCCATGTCCCATAAATTTAAGCAACATCCCTGGTCTTGTTTACTGTAATAGCATAAATATTATCAACCATAAATAGTGTGCAAGCATCAAGCAAAAATGGGGCATTGAAAAATGTACATCATACTCATTTTTCATTTAAAAAAAATGTTTTTTATACAATTTACCCACAGTTAGCTAACTGCCTCTTAAGAGCATTGCAACAAGGATTATACAGCAGATTAAACGTGTCATCTCATCTCATCTCACATGAACAATGCTTGAGAATTCCACTTTACACAATTTACACGATGCTATAATTTCTAGGACCTGTTTATCGGCAGGCACTGGAATACTGACGATGGAATAAGTGAGATTGTAGGACAGATGGAGGCTAAAAATGTCAAAATCCGTCATGGAACATTTGGTGCCTGTGTGGCACTTACTGTGAAAAGTATGTCAGTGTTACTATATTGGTTACATACTAATATAATATAGTCCCATTGATGAAATATGAAACATGAAAATGTCTAACCGTCAAAGATTGTAATATAATTATAATAAAAGGCTGAAATTCTTAAAAAATAACTTTGCCATAGTTTGTAAAAAATAATATGAATTCATGATGAGCAGTAAAGTCAAACATTTTGCGAAATATTTGCCAAGTTAAAGCAGTCGTAACTAACACGCACAAAATCTTGAATTTTTTATTGAAATAGATAATATGATATATTATGGATTGGATAAATGTTAAAATATTGTACACAGCATATATTATGTAAAATATGAATGATTCCACTATTAATTATTAATTAATGCAACATATTAAAAATATATAGGCGCCTAAATGCTTGAAAACGTTTTGTAAACATTGTGTGCCCACATAATTCAAGATGTATTCAAACTACATGTATGGTTTAAATAATGTAAACAGGCCTACCAAAACTTTTTAAGTGTGTTTTTATTTTCTCTCGCTAACATGCTGTGAACTCCAGAGACGCGCATCAGTCGCCAGAACGCGCGCGTCAGCTGGCCGAACACGCGAGTCTCTCTCTCCAGCGGCGCGCAGGTGTATCGCGTTGTGTCGGCGGATTCAAACACTGAAGTGAGACATTAAGAGAAGAGGTTAGACCAAGCATGTATACCATGCACAAAGATTTTACTGAGAACGAAGCTGTCTTTGTCCATCTAGTTTAGTCGGCACTTGGAGAATGCTTTAAGATCGCAACAACATCACGGATTCGTGAACCTGCAACAATCTACATACACTCAACTCAACAGCATCGATAGTTCTCCCGAAACAGACATGAACACCAACGACGCGAAGGAATACCTCTCCAGTAGAGAGATACCTCAGCTGTTTGAGGTGAGCATTTGTGTTGGAACTTTTGTTGTGGTGAAACCTAAAGATGTTTCCACATCATAGCCGTTACAAATAAAAACAATAACACGGAGAAGTTTCTAGCACCGGGATGTCTCACTGCAAAAGCGTATGCCTATATTGTTGATTCATTATTAAAGGGGTCATTATAAAGTTGATAATTTATAATTAAAAGGTATATGGTTGATTTATGTGAAGGCTTCGCATGCTGTAAATGATGTAAGCTGACTGGGTTGCTGAGTGTTGCATTAGATAGGCTATAGGCTATATAAATTAATATAAAATGAGGGTTACTTACGCCCTTGCTACTGTGTTTGCGTTTTTACGCACAAAGCTGCCGATCGTGTCGTTGTTTATTATGGTAGACGTGCTGTCAGAAGCGTACACATTATTTAAGTCAAGTCTTATAACAGGCTTATTTTGTAACTGTTAATAATTTTACAGTGACCAATTATTATTTTACTATTGTTGTGAAAACAGTAGGATCATTCTGAGTCTATAGGATTAGTGCTTATTTATGTGCTCTTGCTTAGAAAGTTTGTTTGCAATATCCTGGCCATATGATGCGAATGATGATGATTTGCATTAGGGTTTTTAGCCTATATCGAATGCATTGGAATGTGTATATTTTAGGAGCTGTCACTCTTTACAATTTCTTTTTCAACATTTTAATAACTTTTTTTTTTGCATTCTCTGGTTTATTTTAAATGGTCATGTGGTGTAACAAATACATTTTTTATTAGTTTGTTTAAATGTTCCATATAGTTGCTATTGGGGGTCATAAACTCGTCATGCATTACAGTTTTAAAGGAATAAACAATATGTTGTTAAAGTCATTTGAAAAGGTGTAACACTGCAACTGACTGTACTCATTGCATATATATGTATGTATATGTATGTATGTATGTATGTATGTATGTATGTACGTACATGCGTGTATACACACACACATACACACACACACACATATATATATATATATATATATATATATACGTTTATATATTATATTTTGATATTATAATACAAAAATAAATATTAAAAAACATAAAAATACATGTTTTTATATAATCTTTTGTGTGTATGTGTGTGTATACACGTACGCACAATAATGCATACATTTATACAGTATATATACATGTGTGTGTGTATGTTTTTTAATATACATTTTTTATTATAATATCAAAAAATGCTGCAGTATCCCTTAGTATGTGGAAAACTGGATTAGAACATAATAAAAAAAATCATGCTACCGGTATTTACAGTGGTAATTATGGATAAACACAGTACGACTCCCTGATCTGTCACTGATTTCCCAGAGTCTGCTGACGGGTCTGATGTACTACCGACCAGACGACCCTCTGGACTATCTAGAGACCTGCCTTAAGAAGGTGAAGGAGATCGGTGGGACTGACAAAGTTCGGTGGGACACGTTCGTCGGACAGGAGAAGAAGTCGTTACCGCCTCTCAATGGTGGGCAGTCACGCCGATCTTTTTTCCGGAACGGTGAGTAGGAGGTGTTGTCATCAGCCGACGCAACTCTAAATTGTAGGCGATGCTGAAATTCATGCAAACTAGAACTGGCCACAAACTGCTGTGTTGTTGGGTCTTGCACAGCAGGCCTGTTATTCATTATTTGGATCCTGTTAGAGCATGGAAACCATCGGTAGGGGTTTTCCTGTCTTTGTGCTGGGCAACATTGTTCTACCCACCTCGGGGCAATGAAAAAAGGCAAATGAATGCAAAGTACCTCTACAGTAAAAAATGTCATCTAAACAAAACCTATTCTTCCAATGATAGACTATCAGTGGGCTTTCCTCTGAAACGTTTGCATTGCATTGCTGAGGACTTCAGAAGCTCTCATGACTAACTATTTGCATTCTTCCACGCAGTTCTCCCGGACAGCCCCAACTTCCCCTATCGGAGGTACGAGCGCCTCCCACCCATCAACCAGTTTTCCATAGAGAGTGACTCAGACTTGTCTGAGACAGCGGAGCTCATAGAGGAATATGAAGTGTTTGACCCATCTAGACCCAGACCCAAAGTCATCCTTATTATAGGTAAGACCAAAGACTAGCTATATTTCATCACTGATAACAAGCCAATGGAGAGAAACAGGCATGGTGTCTGTGTATGTGCACTCGAAATTCCTGTCAAAACACACTATCATCTATCACTATCCTATGAAAACACACTATCATTCTTCAGAATGTTGAGTTTCTTTGAAATAAAATAATATTTTATTCAGCAAGGGTTTATTAAATTCATCAGTGACAGTAAGGACATGTTACAAAAATATTTCTATTTCAAATCAATGCTTTTATTTTTTAACTTTTCATTCAGGAATACATAAAAAAATGTATTACAGTTTTCAGAAAACTATTAAGCAATACAACTGTTTTCAGCATTGATAATAATAAGAAATGTTTCTTGAGCACTAAATCAGCATATTAAAATGATTTCTGAAGGATCATGTGACACTGAAGACTGGAGTGATGATGCTGAAAATTCAGCTTTACCATCACAGGAATAATATCATGGTAATAATATTTCCCACAATATAACTGTTTTACTGTATCTTTGATCAAATAAATGCAGCCTTGGTGAGCATAAGAGACTTGGCATAAAAATATTCTTTGAATGATGAATCTAACCTTTTGAACAGTAGTCTGTGTAATAATGTCTATTATTCATTAAAACTAGAGTTTTAAGCTTTACCGATTATGTGAGACATCCAAAGAAAATGACAACAACAAAAAAAACACATTCCCAGTAGGCATTGATAAAGATAATTTGCTTTGAATAAAAGCATCTAAATAAATGTCTATTGAATTTCTAATATCGGTTGATATTTAATTATTAATTAGAAGATTTAATTATGCATATTTATCACCTAGTCTATTTTTGCATTTAGATGACCTTTGCCATTATCTAATGTTCGCTTAAAGTTACTATAAATAAAGTTAGATAGAGATAAATTTAAATAAATTTAGAAAACTCTAAATGAAAATCCATTTTTCATAGTGTACATTATGTTGTGATGCCTAAATTCTCTTGAAAAGGTTCAAATGTTTTTTTATTAATTTGAACAAAATAATATTTTAATATTGCCTATAAAATAATTATTAGCTTATTTTTATTGGTGTCACTATTAGGTCCACGAAGAAGATTAGGGAGAAGGTTAGCACGCAAATAAAATAAATAACTTTAAAAAAGTAGGGATGCACGATATATCGGCCACCATATCGGTATC